CCAACGGGTGCTGAGCCCCCCTGGAAAGAGAAAAAAATTAAAGCCCCCCCCTGGAAAAATTCCTGAATACGCCCCTGGTTCTTATAAAAAAATCAGATCGAATAAGTCACGTTAGAATATCTCTTCACTGCACTGTGAGATTATATCAAGGATCAAGTTCCTTCTTGGTGATCTTCTGAAAGCCAAAGACGACATTTAAGCAATTTATAAATTTTATGGAGGTCTTATAGCTAGAGAGACGGTCGTTGTTATTTTATTTGATTCTCTATTTAAAATATGAGGGGCGTTGCCCAAATCAATTTGGTCAGCTCTTAAATCCTTAATCTGATTAATTATGTAGAAGATAACGTCGTTCTTGGCTTGACAAGTTTTTAATTTTGATCATTTTTTCAGTGTTTCTGAATCAAGAATCAATCTGTCATTTTTTGAAGAAATCCTCAACCGAGAATAATCAGTTTTCAAAGACAAAAACATTGATATCTTATTCATTCATGACCAGATAAAACTTAAAGGGTATCGTTGCTAATGTGGGAAAACTTGAAATCGCGTGTACACCGTACACTGTACAGCTCCTTTAATGTTTACTTTTTTTATATATCTGTTCCAAATGTTGTATGTTTGAATTAAACCATTGATTATACGGGGTGCACAAAGGACAGAAGGTATAAAATGCCTTTTTTTCAAAATAAAAGGTTAGGCCAACTTTTTTTTTTAAATGTTGCGAAAAAGCTGTGAAACCAAAAAGTGTCTTAAGATAGAAGAACTTGTTATTATTTAAATAAAAACTACAATTATAATCTTAAGAAAGATTTTTTAAATTCAAATTATCATCTACATTTTTCTGTGTATAAATTAAAAACGGTAAGCAGTTTTATGATATTGAATGATACTTCATAGACGAACATACCCGGAAATATATAACTTGCTGTATCCTCTAAAATTCTTTTAAAAACTCTAATTTTAAACTTTCTTTGCTAAGGACAAAGTATACAAGACTTAATATTAGCCTGGAATTGTCATATTTTAATAGTTTCAGGTCGTCTTTACAGTCTCATCCTTTATGGGTAGCCCTGTATATATAAATGATTCAATCATCATGCACAAAATCAATATAAAGTAAAATATCGCAGATTTGTCGAATTTTTATTTCAAGGTCGGGAGGATTGCGGGAAAATGATAAAGTGTACACTGCGCCAGGAGAAGAACGGGAGGATATTCTTCCCGGATTCTAACCAAGGAGAGCAAACCTTTCCAAACCAAATATTATCTAAATAATTTCCCAACCAATTATTATCTAAATATTTTTCAAAACCAAACACCTGCTAAACCATTTTCAAACTTTATATTAATTAAATCTTTTCAAACCAAACACAGCAAAATCATTTCCAAACCATATTCTAACTAAATCTTTTCAAATCAAACACAGCAAAACCATTTCCAAACCATATATTAACTAAATCTTTTCAAATCAAACACAGCAAAACCATTTCCAAACCAAATATTAACTAAATAATTTTCAAACCAAATATTATCTACATATTTTTTACAAACCAAATATTACATAAAAATACTTTTCCACAAATTGAAATCTAAACTATTTCCAAAACATATATTAACTAAGCCTTTTAAAACCAAATGTTAAAATATTTTCCAAACCAAACACAGTTAAACTATTTCCAAATCATTTATAATAACTAAAACTTACCAAACAAAATGTAATCTAAATAATTTTCCAATCCAAAAATAGATAAACTATTTCCAAACCTTAAAATAACTAAACTATTTCCAAATCATATATATTATCTAAGCCTTTCCAAACAAAATGTAATTTAAATATTTTTCTAAACCAAATACAGATAACCTATTTCCAAACCATAAAATAACTAAACTATTTCCAAAACAAATATATACAAAATTTTTTTCCAAACAAAATGACTAAACTATTTTTAAACAATATATTAATCAAACCAAATATTAATTTGACTATTTCCAATTATATAATATATTTATAAACATAAATATTTGTATAAAAGTATGTACGGAAGTTTAACACTTGACTAAGTTTGGAAAGTTTGCTTGTGTCACAGAAATCAGTAGAAAGGTAAATATTGGATTTGCTTTCATCTTTTCTTAATAGAAAACAAACATTGAAGGATTCTAAACTCTTCTTCTTTCAAACTTTCACTTAAATATTTGAAGGGATTGTTTTTAAAATAGATTTGCCAATATGAGATTTAGCTTTGAACATTTAAATTGAAAAGTAAAAGCAAATGCTTTGATTCACTAACATTACAGGGACTGTAAGCCTAATTCCAAGAGTGTGCCTCCATTTAAAGAAACCAATGCCTGGTTTACAACGGTATCCTTGAAACCGTTATCTGATCAATAATGTGGAAGATATTGTCGTTTTTCTAGGTTGAAGATTGTTTAATTCTGATAATTCCAATATGGTTTCCTGCAGTAGAAAATCACTACTCACAAATCACTTTTATAGAGAAAACACAATTGAAAATAATATAGAGGTCGTGAGGACGGACTCTAATAAAAACACGGCGAACTAATGCCAGTAAATATTTAAGTCTAACATGAACAACAGTTTCAGAATACTATAGATTTGTTTATACCATTACATGAGACTTTAGGATGATCAGAGCCCCCGCCTTGTTCTCGAGTCTTGATGTGGAGATATCTTAAGGAGGCCAATAGTCGTCTTCAACAATAATCAGTTTTCAAAATTATAAACATTGATATAATTTTCATACCGATCAGTCAAAACTTTGAAAGGGAACCCCCTTGTGAATGAGGCATTGCCATCTTAAGGTGGAGGGTGACTTGAACGTGTGCACTTACAAGCCCTTTAAAGAAAAATCTGTTTTATCCAAATAGTATTACGTGACATTTTTAAAATTAGTGGTCAATTTAATCCACGATGTTATAGATAATGGTCGTCTTCCCTCCAAAACCAAACCCAGATCAGAACACAATGTACGGGTTCAGTGAGGAGACTCAGGAACCGGTTTATGTCCAGGTGCAGTAGCAACCATCCGAGTCGTTAGACAATTTCTACTCTATATATAGTAGTAATTTAGTTGCGACTTACTCGCCTAGCTAACCCTAGAAATCGCAGCAAAATCTAAGCTAGAAACTGTTTAAAAAATTTCAATTATTGCCTGCAAGAAGAGTATTTTGGTTTTCCTCGCAAAATGAAATGCTTATTTGGCACAAACTCAAATTTTCTAATCCCTTTATTTTTACATTCTGATTGTGAAAAATTTGATCTGGTTGCAAAGATAAAGGGATCAATAAATCAGAGTTTGTTGAAAAATCACAATTCCTATCACACCATTTAGAAAAGATATTTGTAAAAAAGAAACAAGACTTTTAGATATCTTGAGATTTTATCAGTTATTTAGATTGGTTTTAAACAATAATGTCATTTCTTCTGACAATTAATTGATTAATTTATTCCAAGATGGCGTTCGAATCTCATCCTCGTCCAACAGCTGATCAGATGACGTGGTTTATTGGAGATATGGAGCAATCAGTTCAACTTCATCCTGGGCAGGTATATTCATCCTTGGTCAGATATATATTCATTATTCATCCCTGGTCAGATATATATTCATTATTCATCCCTGGTCAGATATATATCTATTATTCATCCCTGATCAGATAAATATTCATTATTCATACCTGGTCAGATATATATTCATTATTCATTCCTGGTCAGATATATATATTCATCCCTGGTCAGATAAATATTCATTATTCATGCCTGGTCAAATATATATTCATTATTCATACCTGGTCAGATATATATTCATTATTAATCCCTGGTCAGATATATAAGCATTATTCATCCCTGGTCAGATATATTTTGATTATTCATCCCTGGTCAGATATATATTCATTATTCATACCTGGTCATACATATATATTCATCACTGGTCAGATGTATATTCATTATTCATCCCTGGTCAGATATATATTCATTATTCATACCTGGTCAGATATATATATTCATCCCTGGTCAGATTTGTATATTAATCCCTAGTCAGATATATATTCATTCCTGATCAGATATATATTCATCCCTGATCAGGTTTATATTCATTCCTGGTCAGATATATATTCATCCATGGTTAGATTTATATTCATTCTGTGATTCCTAGTCAGATATATATATTCATCCTTAGTCAGATATAAATTCATCCCTGGTCAGATATATATTTATCCCTGGTCGGGTATATATTCATCCCAGTTCAGATATAAATTCATCCCTGGTCAGATATATTTTCATCTATGGTCAGATGTATATTCATCCCTGGTCAGGTATATATTCATCCCTGGTCAGGTAAAAATTCATCCTTGGTCAGATATATATTCATCCCAGGTCTATTATAAATTCATTCTTGGTCAGATATATATTCATCCTTAGTCAGGTGTTTATTCATCCCTGGTCAGATATAAATTCTTGGTCAAATAAATATTTATTACTTTTTCAAAGAAAAAATATCTAAGCTTTTCATTTTATTTTATTCATGTGCATAAATTTTGAGTTTATTAAACACTTTAGATTTTTGTTATTAGAATCCGCATATTTTTGTCGGATTGAGTTTCGATAGAAAATATTACGAATCTTTGAGATCCAGATCGAGCTCTAGTAAAAATGGACGTGATTTTTTGGGGTTGTTTTCAAACATCAGAGGGCTTTTCAAAAATTTGACATGCTTACAAAGGCGTACTGGATGTTTAACCTAGGGTGTATAATTTTTTTATGTTTAACCCCCTTGCAGTCATTGTTCACCCCCCTTATAACCCGTATTAAAAGGACTGTAAAGGAAAAATGAAAGGGGGTTAGGCTGAAAGCTAATCTCTTTAGCTCTTGATAGCGACCAATGAAAGTTATATAGGATGTCCTTGACTCGAGAAATGGATATAAAATTGTCTAATTTATACGATAATTCATATTCCAAGGTTAAGGGGAGGGAACCGCTTTATAATTATGAACAAAGGAATTGAGTTTTTGCCAGAAACTTGAATTTTCTCATCAATATATCTTTGAAACCTGATGCTGTAAACTTTTGATATTTAAAAATTTTTTTAAAAATTATTTGACCTAACAGAATTCAAGGTTTGAAATATCTAAGGTCTACGACATTGGGTTACGAAGATAAAGGGATTAGAAAATCAGATTTCGTGGCGAAAGACTCAATTGATTTCTAACTCAAAAGTTTTGAGTTCAGGAATCTGCGGATGGTTTGTATTCAGCTGGTGATCTGAAGAAGGGAGCAGGGGATTGGTCCAATGTATCTCTGACCATCAACTCTATGTCTAGATCTGATCAAGATCTTCAATACCATCTCAGTTAGTTCAAGTTTTTTACTTATAAAGGGACTGTACTGTACTGCACTGTACTGTACTGTACTGTACTGTACTGTACTTTTTTAATCTTTCTGATAGTCATCGCAATATTGCCATATTCAATTTAAAAATTAGAGCTTAGAATTTCATAAGTTTTATTAATTGAANAGCACAAAAGGATGTGATTTGGTACACGCACATTCGAGAACTAATCTTTGTTTAATAGACAGTGAAAATATATATAAATGTAAAATGTCATTATAAACATGTATATTTAGTATATACACATATCTTTTAACCAATAATGTTTTATGTTATAATTTTACAAAATAAACATTTAGATCTTAAAAAAAATTCTTAATACATTAACCCCCAAACTCTCCTAGTCCTTGTATTTCCGGTCTGCCTTTTTGCAGTTCCGATATGTGATCTGCCTTTATGTTACCTGAGGTAGTAATACCTTTGTTCAGATTTTAATTTATCAAATAAAATCAAAATTTTCGAATTCTACAAAATTCTCTGGTGATTGTAAAAGTACAAAAATGGCAGACTACATTTTGGAAATGCCGGAACCAGGAATATTTTGTGTTTGTTAATTCGCGTGTAGCTCTTAAACTGTCAGGTTTCGTGGGACACCCTGTAGAAAATTATGTTTGTTCAGGTGTTAAGAATGATTTTAGTGAAGAGCCTACAATTTATTCCTTTACTGTTATGTTCAATGCTAAGCCTATTACCACAACAACAACCACAACAACCACAACAACTACAACTACCACTACAGTTACAACCACAACATCAAAACGAGAGTTGCAGTTTGTTACATTGAAAAACGTTGAGGTATAATAATTTACCCTTGTAAATAATGATAAATTATTAATTTTTTCAATTAAAACAATTAATAAAGAAAAGTTCTTGGGATTTTCAACTCACGCACCTTTGTCACTCTTTTAAGGAATTTTTTATCCCTATATATTTCTAACCTGATGGTGTAAGTAAACCTTTAAAATTTCAAACTTAAATTTTTTGAAAAATCATAGTTTGGAATATCAAAGATTTCCGAGATTGGGTTGCAAAAATTATAGGGATTAAAATTTGGGTTTCCTTTGACAGATTTCCAAATTTCCATTTAAAATTGCCGGAAAACATAAACAAAGAACTGCCACATTGAAAGTATTGTAGACAATATTTTAAGTGACCCTAAAATTGGTTGACAATTCGGATTCATAGTGGTACCTTTCCAACCTTGTCTGATCTAAAATTCAAAAAATTCAATTTCAAATGTTATTACTTCAATTGCAATTCACTAAAAAGGTACCATCCGGATGTTATTTGTTCTGTACTGTACTGTACTGTACTGTACTGTACTGCTCTGTACTGTACTGAACTGTTCAGGTAGAGAGTATGGGAGGTGGATCTGTGGCAGCTATTGTACTGATCCTGATAGCTCTATTGATTACATGTATTTCTATATTCTGGTTGAAGAAAAATGAAAGATTATGCTTCAAACCTTATCAGGAGGTAAGCACTTAGAAGATCAACGGTCAGAACTTTTATTTATGGTTAATCCCTTGATAAACGCTAATCTGTTTCTTTTACGGAACGACGGATTTAGTTCAATCCTTTTCTAATGAGATCATCTTTTGATAAACTTAATTCGTTTAAATTAATATTTTCGTCGAAAGTTGCTGGAATAATTTCTTCTACACTGTTTATTAAATTCACTAATCTAAATATTTATAATTTCGATCAGTATTTAATTTTATCCCTATTTTTTTAAAATCAATAGTAATTATCATTATTTATTATTATTATTTATTATTTTTGTCTTTATAATAAATTATCTTTCTGCAGGTGACTCAGAATCCAGGGGAAAATGAGAAACCAATATTAAGGAATAGGATTTTTGACAAAAATTATTTTTATTAGAAATGATAATCTAACTCAAAAAATGTTCACTAGAAGGAGATCATTCATTTAGTGTACCGTCCCGTGTTTGCCTTTCATAGTCAGTCTGTGTACTGTACAGCTTGCTCTAGCTGGTTAAAAGTCGTCCAGTACGCAAATCGATC